ATACATACTATGGGGAAAGCTCAAGAACCATTTTTATTGTGAACTATGCCTTTAAGGGTGAAATTAACAAACCCCAAATTGAATTCCGCTGAGACCAGCTGATCCTTCAACAACTCCGACATCCATGAGTATCCCACTCATTTTGAATGGTAAATACTCCCTGTTTCTAAGCTGCTGACCCGGCACTACAAGGTTAATGGTCCTAGGCTATCGTTATGAGTGGCTGTTAGAAGCATGGCGCATACCGGGAAGAGAAAATTTGAATGAGGCGTTCTTCATTTCTTGACGAACTAGCTGTAGTCTTTGAAGGAAAGCCTGGTCGTACGTCACTCTTTCGCTATGAAACCATTTGAGCACAAAGCACATTCACCCAAAATGCTCAAGCGCAATAAAAAATATCAGTGTATCATTTTTAAATGGAAAAAGCAACAACAAACAGCATAATAGGCACACATCGAGCAATTCGAATCTCCTTAAAAGCTTTTCATGATTCATCTGACAACTACTGACGAGCCTGCCCACGTAGTTGATAGGGGGTGTGAAAATACCGTATACAATGCAATACAAATTCAATCTTGAAATCAGAGCATCTTAAGAAAAAGCCATCAACAGTTTAGTGAGGAAGAGAGGGGAACGAGAGTGGGGGAGAGGTAGGGGGAGAGGTGGTGGGATGGAGAGGAGAGGGAAGGAGGAGGTGAAATGAATGTTTTTATGAAAAGGTTCGGCTGTGAAAAGGTTCGGCCGGCAAGGCTAAAATCACATCAATTCATCGTAGAAAAAGGAAACTTTCAAACAACTTTCAACATAAAATTCAAACAGACACACACGTACCAAAATCAGGCAAAGAATTGCTTGGGAATACGCTCATAAAGGATCAATGGATATCGATCAACCTCACACAAAGCGTGGCTTCATAAGCGGATTCCCCAGTGCGATGAATGCCCTTTTATGAAAGGAAAAGTGATACCCATTGTTGGCTGGAAGACTGGATGCTCACAGTAAAAACGAGCAATAACGAAATATGAACGATTACTTGGCATTTGTCAGACGAAATGGCCACTTGATAGCAGGTTCAATTCCTGTCCGGTAATTGAAGCCTGACATACGGTACTATAAATCTCCTGTGAATTTAATTGCTAGATACGTATGGGTTCTTGTCTACCATCACATGCACGTATACATCCGAACTTGGCATTCAGCTATAATCCTTCACATAGATAACAGGTCCTAGAGTTTGGAAGCGTAGAATCACCAAAGAAAGCAAATAGGCAGCGCAAGAGCACTAACGAGTGTGAATTACATGTGTGAGGCCATATGTAGTTGATAATTTCCCTGGCCTCTTACTTTCTTGCATTCACTTACTCCTCTGGGGATCAGTTGTGAGCTGTGAAGTTTGCATTCGGCGTTTGCACAGAAACGTTGTACCACATTCAGTAAGTTTCGCGGACGGAAGGACTTTACGCTTTTGGTAGGGAGAGGAAGCGAAGAAGAGGTAAATATTGCGGTGTCGTGCATTTTGAGACGGAAAACGTTTGGTTAGAGAACGTCGGGATTCCGGAACCACGTAACTGTGACCACCCTTCA